ATCTACCACTGAAGTCAACTACTCATTTGCCAGATATAAAGTGAGGTCTTAGAAATGACCCACTACATATGTTTTATGTATGTATTTGATGCTCTTTTATCAGATTTTTAGCACCTGATGTCTTTAGGACTGTTCATTTATGACATGATATATATGATAAATAATTGATAGCGGTTATGCTCCCCTCCAGCTAACACTCAAATTGAAGCAAATACTTGCTAGTTGGTCCATTTGGAAATCCCATTTGACTTAGGAAGTTTTATCAAATTGTGAATTGCCTTTGCAATCTAGATCATATTTTCATTGACTGTGGTGGACAATCATGATCTAAGACTTCATCAGATCTATCCTTCTGTCCTGATGTCTCGATTGTGTGGACACACAAAATCTTGCAATTGTGAGTTTTATCAATTATCACCTGAGATATCTTCACTTGCTCTGAATCCATACCATCTGGTACCTTATCCTTAATAGAGCATCTGCAATAGCTTTCAATTTTCCTGCATGGTATAATATTCTTAAGTAAAGTAAATGAAAAAAATACTATTAAATAGTCAAAAGTTTGAGTTTGCAAATATTCCAGGCATCAATTATTTAATCGCTCTCAAACTGTCCACTTGACTTATCCACTCAATCAAGGAGCAATTTCATCAAATGTAAAACCCATTGTTTTCAAAGTCTTCACACTTGTTCATCACAGGGATTTATTCTGGTATGAAATCCAAACATTTTAGCAATTGGAAGGAAAGGACACTTGTCCTTTCAAATTGAAACCCACATTCTATATTTAATTCCATTCTAGACTTTGACTTCTCTTGAGTGTGATAAAGTATAAAATTGCTAAAAAAAATGATTGGAGAACCTTATTTATACTGCATTTTTGCACCCTGAATTAAGAGAAAGTGCTTTCAAGCATGTTTAGGATGGCATCAAGAGGCTGTCAGCACCACCCCAACTCTCTGTTTTATATGTGGCAAATATACAAAGAAGAGAGGAAACAGCAGTGAAGGTTTGTGAAGCCTACCAGAAGTACTTTGGGATGTCAGCTGGAGACCAGGACAAGACCTAGGCCTCTCACTACTGTTGTGAGCAGGGGCTTAGGAGGTGAAGACTGGGACCCAATGCCGGGGAACTCCCCTGCCTTGGGACTCAGCCCTCGACTCAACTAATTTTGCATGGTCTTTTTTCCCCTTCTACTTTTTTGTTTCCATCCCTTGCCCAACCACTTCCATTATCCACTTCGTAAGGTGTGAGAGTCATGCTAAAAGGATGAAAGACTGACTTTATGCCAGTCCTGAATGACCTGATGGAACCATGTGCACAGTATTCCCCTGTTTTAGATGTCTAGCCCTTACCCCTCAATGGGACCCTGAGAGGTGGACTGTTTCTCTCCTTAATATACTCCAGGCTTACCATGGCTAATAATGATGTTATATCCTTATTAGGGGCAATGAGGCTTGCCCCTTTATCAAATAGCCCCACCAATTTAAACTCTCCTGATTCAATGACTCCAGGCTCTCCTTTGACCACGGCTCCAAACACTGCAACTACCACCCCCTCCTCAATGCCTACTAGTACATTATCCACCCAAGTCAACACTCATTCTCCAGGAGACATTCCTACTCTCTCAACATGCTCAACATCACCTCTACCTCCCACAAACTTATTCATCAACTACCCCATCCTCTCTTATTACTACTTTACAGCTTTATTGTCCACCTCTCCATAACACTACCTCCCTCAACACTACTCCCTCTTCCACACGCCCCAGTCCATCTACTACCCCTATCTCTACAAATATCTTAAATACTCTATTTAGCCTAGCCAAATGGGACCGATTTTTCGTGATCCCTCCCACAATTTCCTACTCAGACAACACTTCTCTTCCAGCAATGTCTCCAAAAAACAAGCAGACAAAGTCTCTTTCCTAGCCGACCCGATCATTCCCGTCTCGTCACAGTAACATCTGAAAATCAAGTTATAACATTGTCAACTCTAACTGATCTCTTTGGTAACCCCATTCCGGCAGAACCTCATCCACCCCTCAATACTTGCACTGGAACTGTCTCCATCTCCCCAGCAAACTGCCCTATCTATAACAAGAATGGTCAGATTGTGGAAATGACTTACTCGCCTGCCTCACTATGATGCAGCATCAGTACAGTGCTACTCCATTTCCCCCAGAGGTCATCGTAAGAACCCCACTAACACTGCCAAAATTACTTTCCGTGGACATGACCTTCTCTTCAATGTTTACATTTGTGGAGAATCCCTCCCTGTCCGACCATATCAACCTCCTCCCCGCCAGTGCCAAAATTGTTTAGGTCATCCTGCCAAACATTGCCGTTCCACAGCCAGATGCCCTCTATGTGCCCAACCTGGTCATACTCAAAAGTGCCAACTGTGGCGGCCCCCATAATGTATTTTATAAGGGCTGCCCCACCTACAAATTTCAGTCTGAGGTGGCAATTCTCAGATTCAGACTTGGACTCACTATACGTGAAGCCAGAAAGGAAACACGTTGACAAGGTTTTTCTCTTACTCCTTACTCCAGTAATGTCGCTCTCTCTGTCCCTCCGCCTCCCTCAAGACGTTCTTACACCCTCCTCTATACCTATCCCTCCTACATCTTACTTCCCCACTTCTACCTAATACCTCCCCCAGTCAAATGCTTCTGCCATTCTAAATCCAGACACTCCACTCTCTACTGCAACCCAACACCTTCCCCTCTCCCTCCCCCCACTACCCGCAGCAAACAGACTAATCGTTCCATCCCTTCTCCTACCACACACACTCACCTCCACCTACCTTTGCCTCTACTCCTCAGACACCAGTCCCCCCCCCCCCTTATAAGAAAACCTTTGTCTCACAAAACTCCCCAACCAACTCCTTTACAGAAACTCTTGAAGATATTCAAAACTATTAATTCGAGTCCCAAAGTGACACCGAAACCCCTCCACCCTCAAATTCCACAACTCCCGATCCCTCCACACTCAAAATGACTGCCGATATCCATCCTCCGCCTACTCATATTCCCCCTACACCTCTTCCACCTACTCTCTCCCAACACCCCCAGCTCCACCTACATTTACTCTCCCTCCATCCCCTCTATCCCTTCCACTCCCTTCTGGATACACACATGAATCCCTTATGTCACAACTATGCCCTTCCTTAGACCCTCCACCTCCTGATATCCCTCCTCCCGCAACTCCCCCCTCTCATTCCTTATCTCACCCCCTAGCTCCTTCCCCTTCAAATTCTCCAGCACGCAGTATAACCGTTATCACTCATAGATCAACTAAAGTATAGCTCTCCTACATCGGAATATTCGCGGTTTCCGTTCTCACAGAGCTGACCTTCGTCATATCCTTTCTTCTTATATTCCATCCATTATCTGCCTTCAAGAAACTTATCTTACACTGTTTTGTCAACCTGTTCTCTTTCCGCGGATGCTTTACATATCCTTCACTTAATTTATTCCCTTTACATAATTCGTCCTTAACCCATTCACTCATCAACCGCCCTTCACTACCTTTTACTATACCTTCCTATAGTGCTATGTGACCGTGGATGTCTAGCACACTCCACAAACTTTTTCTTTTCTTTTTTGCATGGTGGATGTCAGCAAGCGGCGGAAAGAAAAGAATGCAGCTGGTGTATATTATCCAGATCTCCCATCATCAATTGCTCCAATTCCCCACTGCTCCAAATACCCTGTGCCCATACCACTTGATGATGGTGAGGAGGTGGATGCTGAGGATTTAGAATACCTACCTGAGGTAACAGAAAAAGTTCCTCACTTTCCAAACCAAAAGGAAGTGACTGACCTGATCAGGGATATGGGTCTGACCAAGTCAAATGCAGAGCTATTAATTTCAAGGATGAAGCAGTGGAATTTAGTCAAGGAGGATGTGCAGGTGACAAGTCAGAGAACTCGACACGAACCTTTCTCAGGCTTTTATACTCTTAGAGATGGGCTCTACTTCTGCCATGACGTGCCTGGACTATTTGACATTTTTGGAATGTCGTTTGTGCCCAAGGAGTGGCGACTATTTGTAGACAGCTCCACCACAAGTTTGAATGCTGTCCTTCTCCACAATAGAAACAAGTTCCCGACGCTGCCCCTAGCCCATTCATCACCCCGAAGGAAGATTACTACAGTCGTCTTGGAAATTCTGCAATACAACCAATGAAATTGGGGTCATTGAAGACTTCAAGATGGTGGTTTTCTTGGCTTTATCAAGTTTCAATACTTCCTCTGCCTTTGAGGCAACAAGGCTACCTTTGAGCACTCCAAAAGTAAGAACTGAGAGCAGCGAACAGAATTTATAGTTGTGACTTGGAATGTCATGTGGGAGCTGCTGGTTGATCCTAGGATTGTCCTCATGCTACCTATGCACATTAAGTTAGGGCTAATGAAGCAGTTTGTGAAGGCTTTCAACCAAGAATCAGCCGCATTCAAGTATCTTCTTGCATTCTTGCCAAAGTTATCTGAGGCCAAAATCAAAGGTGGAATATTTGTTGTACCTCAGATAAAGAAGGGATTGAGTCTACCAAGTTTTCCAATAAACTCAGTAGGACTGAGAGAACAGCATGGAACTGTTTCAAGGCAGTTGTTAAGGTCTTCCTGGGCAATTACAGAGCTGAAAACTACCAGCAACTGGTGCAGAATCTTATAAAGGCTTTTGGTGCCATGGGATGCAGGATGTCGCTTAAACTCCATATGCTGTACGCTTACCTGGAAAAATTCAAAGACAATATGGGCGCCTACTCAGAAGAACAAGACGAACGATTCTACCAAGATGTGAAACAGATGGAACGGAGGTACCAAGGCCACTACAATGAAAAAATGAAGGGGGACACTACCTGGGGGCTTGTGCGGGAATGTGATCTGAACTACAACTGCAAATCTAGGAAATCCAATAATTTCTGATGTGTAAAACTTTGTTTATCGTCGTTTTTTTCACTTGTTTGCTTTTGATATGGTTGTGTGATAAAAT